ATTCTCAACTCTGCCACGGAATGCGCTAATACAATTGGCTATTTGATTTATCGTCTGTCATTCGTCACCATGTGGTGAAAGACATAAACATTTTCATCGCAGGGGGCATTTGCAGGACGTCCTGATTTTGGGTCATCTTAAGGACGCTCTTTCCTCTTCTTTTGTACTTTTGATAAATCTGTGGTGTCACCTCCTAATGTATCAATCGTGACAGCATAAATGTCCTTCGGGGTTAGACCCTCTTATCTGCAGGTAATTTTTAACACGACGATGCCAAATTTTGTCCATTTTCAAAAGACATCGCTACTAGTTCTTTTTGACTATTTCTTTGACAAGTCAGATGTCGGCTTACTTAAAAAGAAACTATGCAGTTATTAATAAGACGAGTTGAAATGAGCGCATACAAGTTATAAAGTAATCGGATGGAAGCATTTGGAAATTAATACTTTGATGAAATATTAATTTCGGGAGTTTCTTAGAGCTGAGAATTTTTCAGCATTTCCTCATGAGCTATCGACGTGCAGAACTTGCTCCAAATGTAAATGGTTTTATTATACATTGGCATGGGTTATTAACTGAAGCAAAGGAAGCTGAGATGGTATGGCCACGTAACACGATCGGATGGCCTCGCAAAGACAGTTCTTCAAGGAACCGCGGTGGGACGCAGCAGGAGGGGACGATAGAAGAAAAGGTGGAATGACAGTATCGAGGAATGGATGCTGAAAGAGACACAGGTTTAGGGACACGACCGCGACAATTGGCGAAGAGTGATGAAAAAATCAGCAGGTCGCCGCCCCAAATACTCCTTCGGGGTTAATGGCGATAGGAGAAGAAAAAGATTGTCATTAATTTATCTCTATCTATAAAATGTTTGTGTGTGTGTGTGTGTGTGTGTGTGTGTGTGTGTGTGTGTGTAACGAATGCACGGCCACAATTTTCGACGGATTTGCACCAAAATTTACATGCACATGCTCCAAGTTAGCGGGAATGCCAAGACCGACTTTGCATTTCCCAACTCCGATCGATAGTGGAAATAATCGTTTTTCATGCTTCTACGGCAGTTTTCATGTAGTTTGCAGCCATTTTGTCCTGGCCAGAGTGAGCGCCTATAGGCAGGAAGATTCTATTGGCCAACGTGAGAGACAATAACTGACTGACACGAATGTTAACTAGCATGCTAGCATGCAAAAACAATCGATAGCTGCATTCGTCACAAGTGGGAAAAATTTAAATCTGCATGGCACTTTACTCCAATTGGCTCATTCGCTTGCTTAAACTAAACGTTGATTCTGATTCCGCAGAACAGGGTTGGGTGTGAAAAAGTATTTGTTGTTAAAATTATTTTTTCATTCGGTTTTTCCAGTTACGAGTCTTTTTTTAAAGCTGATCGTTTTGTGTTCGTTTTGTTTTGTTCTTTTTTTGTAACATATTTAATGTTTAGAGCTTAGAAAAAAATTCGCAAAGATAGGCAAAATAAGGCATGTAGCAAATCAGCACGGCAAAGGGCACTCCTTTAAAAAGGCAAGGAAGGGCAAAAATATTTTTAAGTCAAGTGATAGCGATTGCTGTATGAGTCGTACGATTTTATAATCAAGCACGGGCAACGCCGGGTCATGCTGCTAGTCGTTAATATAACTTCAACCATGTTCTCGTCTTTTAATTTTCTTATTATTATCTCCATTCGATTTCATACTAACTCAATAGTAACTGCAATCACAATGCCTTCATCATATTGCTACATATCGTTGTCACTTTTAAGTGCGAAACACCATCATCTCATTTTAATGTGATGTCTTCATCAGATAGTCAAACTGATCTTATTAGGAAAGATATTCAAAAAGCAAATCTCGATCATGAATTAAAGTATACGCACACGTACGATTTTTGAATCAAGCACGGGCAACGCCAGTCCATGCTGCTAGTATATATATATATATATATATAAAACAGAGAATATCAGTGTGTCTGTCTGTTTATCGGTCTGTATGATACCTTTTCGCTCGAGATCAATCCAACCAATATTGACTAAACTTGGCACATACATTATACAATGTAAGAGATAGGTTCTTAGTGTAAAAAAATCAATAATTTAAAAAGAAAAACAAGAATCGATAAAACCGATCAAAAATCGATGAACTTTTTTTCCTTCGATTTCCTTCAAACTCGATATGTAGGTGACTTACATCATGACGAACTCAACGATACCTGATTTTTATTTCTACGCCTCTGCGTTTAGCGAAAACCCGCGACAAACCAAAAATCGATTTCAACACAAATCCATTTCAACACAAAGTTTAAATTAAAACTCCCTCAATTTTCAAGCAATCTAATATAAACTTTACTCAATTTTGGTCAACAATAAGTTAATTAACCGTCATTTAACTTGATAACTGGCTCCACCCATATTGTGAAACCCCCCGTAAATTGCGAAAAATGGCGATTTTCACTGGTTTCTTTTTATTTTTCGTTGATCTTTCAACCAATTTTTTAAATATTTTTCTTGTTTTCATATTGTAAATACTCAGTGGGGTTAGTTTTTAGAATTGTTGTTTTATCCCCCACCACCACCAGACAATGAATTTTAAATATCGGGACTAGTTAGTATTTTTATAGAGACCTTGAGGTATTATGGTGAATGTAGTAAGAAAGGTACGTATGAATGGGTTGTTTTGGTGTAAGGAATATTGTTCGTACTACTGGGTCAGTGTTTGCGGCTATCTAAGTTATAGTTAAGTTTAATCTGCAAAAATTTAAAAGCAATGTCAATAGCTATCTACTGTCTTCCTGATTACTCTTTTCTTTCCCTGCTCATTATGAATGTTTCTATTCTTAATTCTTCCACAGTATGTAACCCATTGCATCTTAGTGGCTTTACTCTCTTGCTTGGGGTGATACCGATTTTTAAAAAAAATTAAAAAAAATTAATCTGGCAAGGACAACGATTTTGACGACATAACGCTAGTACCGTATCTTGATATCCAGAGCCGATCAACAATTTTAGATATCATTTTAATTTCCAGTGACATAAAGTTATCTAAGTTTGTTTTTGCAGGTTTCATATTACAAAATATTTAATAAAGAATTGCATGCTATATATATATATATATATATATATATATATATATATATATATATATATATATATATATATAATATTAGTGGAAAATATACATATATATGCAAAATATATAAATACCCATACATGTATATTTTTTCAAAAAAAAAAAATTCAAGAGGAAGAATCCAGGTAGAACTCAATGTCTAGGACAGAGTAAGGATATAATAAAAAAAATTAAACACTAATATTCCATGGTCATAATTTATTCCATTGGAATCGTAAATACGATCCATTCATCAGACCTACAAATTCAAAAAACAAATTCAAAAAAAGTAAAAAGGTTTTGAATTTGTAGGTCTGATGAATTGGATCATTTACGATTCCAATGGAATAAATTATGACCATGGAATATTAGTGTTTAAAAAATTTTATTATATATATATATATATATATATATATATATATATATATATATATATATATATATTGTCATCCACAGACAGACTGTTTCGCTGTATCACAGCTCATCAGTGTGATTAGACGTCCGGTTGCCTCTAGCCTCGAAACCCGATTGAATTTTCATCAGTCGGGGATTCTACCACTAAGCAATTGGCGCCCGGCAGGGAAGAAGGTGAATTTAAGCGTATTTATTTTTAGATAAACACACATGGACTGAGAGAACTCGATTCGATTTACCGAAGAGTCTTGCATTATTAGCCGTAATAGTCACTGTTTACAGACCCACACTTATATAAATGTATTACTAATTATTTTGCGATAGAAATGACTTGCTAATGTTGGTTTTATTATTGTGGCGATAAGGAAACTGAAAAATGGAACAGTCTTTGATTGGGATAGTTTCGCTTAATACCGCAATGTGCTACAAAACCAAAACATTTAACCTAAGAACTATAGTTATAAGATTTAATAGTTTCGCCAGATGGAGACTTTCATCCGAATTGTATGTTTAGCACCAAACCCGTTCAGAAAAAATATCAAGTGTCGGCGGGAAACAACAACTTTCGTTGGTTAAAATTGGCTCTGATTGAGTGAAGCCTGTCGTTCTCAGCAAGGGCCACATTTCGAACTTTGTGAACTGATGCTGCAGAATGGCAAACAAAGAACTGTAGCAAATAACATAAATATCTCTTGAGGGCTTTTAGCAAGAGTAATATAGATAACGCTTGTAAAAAAAGATAGCGCTTGAAAAGTAGATCGTGTTTGTAAAGGTATATAGCACTTGTAAAATAACGTTTGTAAAATAGTGCTTGTAAGATAGATACCGCTTGTAAAATAGATAGCGTTCGTAAAGTAGATAGCGCTTGTAAAATAGCGGCTGTATATTACATAGCGCTTGTAAAATAAATAGCGCTTGTAAAATAGCACTTGTAAAATAGCGCTTGTAAAATAGCGCTTGTAAAATAGTGCTTGCAAGATAGCTAGCGCTTGTAAAATAGATAGCTTATGTAAAATAGAGAGCGATTGTAAATTAGATAGTGATTGTAAATTAGATAGCGCTTTTAAAATAGCGGTTGTAAATATTACATAGCGCTTGCAAAATAGCGCTTGTAAGATAGATGGCGCTTGTAAAATAGATAGCGCTTGTAAAATAGCGCTTGTAAAATAGTGCTTGTAAGATAGATGGCGCTTGTAAAATAGATAGCGCTTTTAAAATAATATATTAATCACTGTAAAATATTGCTTGTAAGATAGATGGCGCTTGTAAAATAGATAGCGCTTTTAAAATAGCGCCTGTAAAATATTGCTTGTAAGATAGATGGCGCTTCTAAAATAGATAGCGCTTGTAAATTAGATAGTGCTTGTAAAGTAGATAGCGCTTTTAAAATAGCTGTTGTATATTAAATGGCGCTTGTATAATAAATAGCGCTTGTAAAAGTGATAGTGCTTGTAAAATAATGCTTGTAAAAATAGAGCTTGTAAATTAAACAGCGCTTGTAAAATAGATAGCGCTTGTAAAGTAAATGGCCTTGTATAGTAGATAGCGCTTGTAAAATAAATAGCGTTTGTAAAGTAGATAGAGCTGTAAAATAGTGCTTGTAAAATATTGCTTGTAAGATAGATGGCGCTTGTAAAATAGATAGCACTTGTAAAATAGCGCTTGTAAAATATTGCTTGTAAGATAGATGGCGCTTGTAAAATAGATAGCACTTGTCAAATAGCGCTTGTAAAATATTGTTTGTAAGATAGATGGCGCTTGTAAAATAGATAGCACTTGTAAAATAGCGCTTGTAAAATATTGCTTGTAAGATAGATGGCGCTTGTAAAATAGATAGCACTTGTCAAATAGCGCTTGTAAAATATTGTTTGTAAGATAGATGGAGCTTGTAAAATAGACAACGTTTGCAAAATAGATGGCGCTTGTTACTTTAAAAGGTAACAATTGCATAAATTAAATACTAATTTTCCACACTAATTCAGGAAGGGTAGACGTTCCCATTAATAGTGGAAAGAAAAATAAACGTATTTCCTAAAAAAATCGTTCTAAGTAAAAAAAAAAAAAAAATATTAAGGGCAGCTAGGCCAACGAATGCCGAAATCATATACTTTTATGATTGATTGATTCCTTTTTTACGGCTTATCAACACTTTACAGGTTATTTTGAGCTAGAGTGAATCTAACGAAACCACAGAAATTGGAACTCGACTCCACAATTAACAATTTCGAGCGATTACTAATTACACCAACCGCACGTTTAAGTTTACAGCACCTGGTATTCCTAGGCGGTCCCTGATCTAGTTACTGACCAGGCTCGACGTTGCTTAACTTTGGTGAGCGTATAAACAGTTCTTCCATGCTATAATTTAGTATATAAATGTATTAATCATTAGTTTACTATATAACTGCATAGTTAACTGCAAATTTAACTTTAACGACTTCGAAACGAAACGTCACGTTTTATTCGTCGTAGATAAAATATTTTTGGCTTCTATCAATATGTCTGATGCTAAACTCCAGGAGCGTGCCTCATTGCGTCTTTTCGGGGAGACATCTTCCGCTGACATAAACTGGAAAGATTATGTTGAATAAATCGCTAGGTGTGGTGTTAAGAAAGTTGTTTTACTATGCCGCGCTAGACAATCTTTCTCGACAGAATCTATTTTACGCCTTTTTTATGTCTACCATTCGTCCATTCATTGAATATTGCTTATCATATCTGGTTTGGTTCTTCTGCTATATGTGACACTATTTAGCTATGGTAATTGGCTAACTAATTAAGCATGGAAATTAAAATGAGAAATACTTAAGGCGAGAAAAAGCTATAACGAAAGACATACTGAGCGATGTTATTTTTTTTAACAAAAAAATGGGTAAAGATTTTTTTTTCATTTGCGAAGAAAGGTATTTTTTTCGCAGATCTGTCAGAATTAATTTATGCCATGACGCTGCGAGGAAAGGCAGAATGCGGGTAAAAGATAGCAATCTGCCCATGGCAATAATGAAAATTTCAAGAGGCTTACAAAGCAGAATGCTAGAAGATAATCGAAAATTGGGTCAAGCATGCGAACGAGAAAGAATTAGGTGAGACCACCCCAAAGAAAAAGAAAGGTAAAAAAAGAAAAAGAAAAAGAATAAGCCATTAACTATCTTTCGGGGATATCATTTGGTTTGGGAAGGAGAACCATCTGTTGTATGTCCAGAACTTGCCATGATAAAAGTTTGTTACCTGGACAGGCTGTTGGCGACAGAATGCGATGATGTTGAGAAAGACAAAGAGATTTAGTTGACCACCCAGATAATAATTCGGCGAAAATCCCATTAATGAATCCCAGATGACATCAAGTTAAGATAAAGATTTAATGTCCACAGTAAAATTCGCGGGGGTTCTGGCCGATGGAAAAGGAAGAAAAGAAAAAGGAAGATAATTTTTTTCTTTGAGCGTTAAATATAAACTGAGGCCAGTCTAGCCACACCCACACTCTCTAGCGTTCATTGGCTGAATGGTGGCGTGAGCGATGGGCGAAGGTAAATATATGAGAAAGAAGGGAAACCTGTTGACGCCCTTTGAGGGGATTGGTGTGAGATACCAATATGAGAAAGGAAGAATTTAGGAGGACAATTCCCTTAAGAACCCCTCTAAAACAGAAAGTAATTGACTTCCAAAAATGGGAAGTGATAAATTTTCCTGTCCGAAAACAAAGAAAATCCTTATTGCGGATTTGGAATTATCGAAGAACCCAAACCACGACAGGCCCCCACCCGGTTTTGGTTGGCGTCCATATAAACGAACGTCCCCAGAGTTGGAGAAGACAGTTGGCGACAGTTGCCGACAGTTGGAGTCACAGAGTTGAGTTGCAGTTGAGCTGTGAGCTCAGAGACCAGCCTCGCAGGAGCTGACTGAAAGATTTTCATGCAATCCGACTTAGACTTCTAACCAAAAACATTTTTTTTTGAAGAACGACTTACGACTCACACCACCAAAACAAGTTTTACGAATATCGCCTGAAGATTCCAAAAAACAGTTTATTGAAAAACAAATTACGGTATTAAGACTCGCCTAAGAAACGCAAAGTGTCACGAATCCATAGAAGCGGTTTGAGAGAAAGACGCAATCCTGTATTCAGTAAACAGATATGAAGATACTTGTTATTCTTTTTTAACACATTTGAATCTTTTGAGTTGTTACTTTATTTTCTTTTACATACACTTGTGCGGTATCACCTTTGCCCCGGATTCGGCTTGCACCACGGCCCGACGCCTGATTGATCTCGTCTAGCTAAGATCAAATCATAACGTTGGTAGGTTAGACTAGAGATCAAAGCATTTACTTTGGTAACCAGACGTTGATGGCGAGCTGGGAACGACAAGGCTGATATCGAATCTAACCAGATTTCCATCCGAACCAGCCAAGGGTTAGATCGTCACAGGATAGCACGGGAGCAGGACCAGGGTGACGTCACATATACATTTAAATTTTCTTGATAGAAGAATCTATAATGTTATCATCCTTAACCTGGTATATCGAATTCAGTCACCGCCTTTTTCTATAAATAATTTCATGAGTTTTCTCCTGATAAGCTTTCTACTTTTGTACATTCACTGAAGCGCAGTACTAGATATGCAGTTAGGTTCCATCATCTATTAATTTATTAAGTTAATATGACTGGATGTAACCGTAAGTTCTATGCCATCATTTTCTTCTCTCGCATTTCTCGCTTGTGGAACTCTCTTCCGACCTTTTGCTTTCTAGTCAACGGAAAATCTTCAAAAAATTAAATGCCATATCAATCGTTATATTTTGTCTTCTTAATTCTGGTTCATTTATTGATCTCTCTATTTCATGATATTTTCTTTTTTGCATATTTTTTTTCACACTCAGTGCTCCCTTTCATCTTAATGGCTACATTGCCTTGCTTGTCGCGAAATGATTTTAAAACTTTTTTTAATATTTACTATTAGAATTGCATTGTCATTGACTTTAGTATATAAGCACAGAATCCGCTCTCAAATAATGTGTATATACATTTCAGGAAAACCTTGTTTTTCGTAATCTTAACAAATTGCGATAGCATACTGTATTATAGTATTTTCTCGACAGATGACTTTACCTCCATGGATGTAGCATCAATAAGTCCTAAAGGATGTGGAGCCCCGCAGAAAACTGACTAAAATGGCGGCCTTAAGAGAAGACATTGAAAATGCATGTGCAGCAACTACAAAAGATACTTTGGCCAACATTGCCCAAGCAGTAGTTTTTCGTAGTAATAAATGTCTGGAATCTAAAGGCCGCCTTTTTCTACATCTCTTTTCAGTGTAATATCCAAAAGGTAACTTGTATTAATCACGTGAATCTAAATAAATTTTGCAATACAAAATCTATACAAGTTTTTCCTTTCCTGAAGTTCGCCAGACATTTTTTTAGCGGACTGCGTGCATACTATTTCAAAAGTTATTTTTCACCTACTCTAGGGCAATTTTATCAATTGTATCTTCGTTTCCGACTCTAGAATTTGGTTTATTTATATATATATATATATATATATATATATATATATATATATATATATATATATTTTGATTTCAAATAAATCACAAATAATAAAAAAAATAATCAAAAAATACTATGCTTAAAAGAGTGTTCAACACAGAGAATGAAATATATAATTATTTATTCGAAAATTGTAACATGAAAATGTTATTAAAATCACTAAAAAATAGCCATTTTCTTTCAAAACTTCTGGTGTCTTATTTTCAAGAGATGATGCATCAATTATTATAAAATATTACACCACCTATTATTTTAAAAAGTATTATAAATTATTATTACTTTTCATTTTATATATATAAATTATTATAAATATATATATATATATATATATATATATATATATATAGATATTTTAGTTAACTTATTATATACATTACATTAGACCATGCGCATATCCTATACAAAATTGTAGATTTTTGTTTAAACGTAAAAAAGAAGGAAACATTTTTAGACGTCTCATCAGGTGGGGAATCACGGAGTTACTAAAACATTTCTCTAGAAATACAGTTATTGAAGCAAATATCTCCCACTTCCGTTCTTTGGAAATTTTCATAAAATGTCTTCTAGAATTTACATTTAGAGATGGAAGGTAATCTAATGCATTATTATCAAATTATATATTATTAAATATTAAATTATAAATTATTATTATATTATTATTATATAAATTAATTTTTTGAAACTGTATTTCTGAATATTTTTTTTTAGAAACACCATGATTCTATAGTGGATATGTGCATGTTCTAATGTAACACTGCATAAGAAAAATAAATATTTACGGCTCTACTTTGTGTATTGAGCACTATTTTAAAATTAATGTTTTGACCCTATAATGTTACTGTTCCTTCTTGTACACTTTCACACACACACACACACACACACACACACATATATATATATATATATATATATATATATATATATATATATATATATACTCGTCTAAAAAAAGGTTGTTTTTGGCTTGTAAATGAACAAACCAATACCCAATGAAAAATAATGGATAAAAAAGAAAGAACTAAGAACATGTAATTGAGGCGAAAACAATCGTCCAGAATCCAAGCTCAGAGTCCAAAGAAAAAAAAAAAAACTTCAACACGAGTAAAGCAAAGTAAAGTGCTCAATACAGTAAGTAGAGTAAGTCTAACTATGAACGTAAAGAGCCAGGCAAACCTACCTAGGTTTCGCCTACGCGGATCGTCAGGGTACGCTGGCCAAAGAGGTAACATTGAAACAGAATATAAATAGCCTTCAAAATAAAAACTACCATGGCCATGGGAATAAAAAAAAGAAAAAAAGAAAAAAGAAAATGAAACAGTAACTCAACAACGGGAGAGGCTTCAATAACAAAAAAAAAAAAAAAAAAAAAAGAAGAAAACCAAACCTATTCTAGTTACCAG